GGTACAGAAAGGAACATCGATGCAAGTTGGGGAGGAAACTATGACTTCATACATGATAGCATGAAGTAAGCAACTCAATAAAATTAGGAAACATGTATTTGTAACTCGGGGTAGAGGGTTAGATGGGCCTGTACATAACATTCAGCCTGGAGACTATGTGTATGTTAAGTCTCTTACAGAAAAGACGTTGGAACCACAATGGGAAGGGCCGTTTCAAGTGCTACTCACAATGTTTACGGCCATCAAGATTAAAGAATACTCAGCCTGGATTCATCACACCCGAATAAAGAAGGCCCCACAAATCCCTGTGGAAGGTTACACAGACTCAGCCTGGAAGACTACGCTTCTCACGATAAGTCTAATAATCTCCTTTCCCCAGATACCCGGTCAAAGGTTCACTGAATGGCCGTGGTCCCAAGCGTACATTGGGTATACTGGGAGCATGGGTATAACCAATACTAACTCAGCCTTAACTTTAGCTACTGTAGTGATGCGGGGAACAGAGTTTTATACAAAAACTGAATGGAAAGACGTCAATGGAGTACCACAATTATGGGGAACGGTAGGGCAAGAGATTAGAGTAGAGTGTCGAGTAATGAATGAAATCACCCATTGGTCAGTGCGTCAGATTACAGTATCTGAGATCAAGATCTTAAATCCCAAATATATCGTGTCAAGTATTGGTCATATATGTGATCCAAAAGATCTAGAATGCTGGTATAATTTTACTTTGACTCAACCTGCTGTTTCTGTGCGATGTTTCTGGGCCAAGGATAAATTAGGGCTATCCTTTAATTTTAACATGGTGACTACCCTCGTGACAACCACACCAATCACTGTAAATCTTACACCCAACGTATATGAGGTCGGCCCGTACATGATCAGACACCTAGACTAACAGCAAGTGCTGATCAATCCAAAATGGTCTCTAAAAAAGGTAGAATTACAGATGCAAGTTAACATTTCTAATACAGAGCCACGTTGTTTCCCCTTCTTACGAACCTCAGGCGAAGGATGGACAACTTGGCTAAGGAAAAAGGGAAGTACCTACCAGAAAAGACCACAGAGGGACCTAACCGGAGTATTAGGAACCAAATTGGAAGTGTTAAATTCAATAGATTCAGAAGTAATAACGAACAAATTAGCATCTACTGCAAGGGATATTATCAAAATTACAACCGCCATTGAGGTCTTCACTATGAGCATTAGGGGTACATCAATGGGCAAAAGTAATGCCGGATTGGGAGCAAAAAGAAACAAAGGACCACACACTTATTGCTGAAACCTTGGGAGCGTTACAAGGTGATATCGCCGTAGCTCTTAAGTTACATACAAGCCCAGTTATGGATGCAAACTGTAGCAGAATCTGTAATAAGGGAAGGAGAGGAGGGTACACTTCCCACTGAAATTCGAAAAATAATTTGGGATAGTGCCACAGAGACAAAGTTACAATCATGGTGGAATATGGTCAACTTCACCTATAGGCCTGACATGCATACAGTAACGACTTTTGTGTTAACAATATATGATACAAAATTAATCACCATACACCCCATTGTATGTCTTGGAGTCAATTACAATGGGACTCTGCTGTACCCCTTTGAACATAAGACCTGGGCTATGAATACTGGTAATAAATGGCAAGCAGTAGATCTTGAACCCTGTATCATGAAAGAACAACAGGGATTTATATTTGAAAGTAATACCTTACTAACCCAGGATACCTGCTTAGATACTGACCAAAAGATTTGCCACTTTGAAGCACGCCCCAATGTAGATTTGAGGACCATTGTTGTCTATACCGGAAAGGGATGTGCATGTTTAAGGGCACTGTGTGACACAATAACCATAGATGGGCGAGAGAAGAAATTGATACAGCATCTAAATTATTGTATTTGTAATTTCACCATCATTCTGAGGTGTGATTTCACTTATTCTGCCCCGGTGGTTACACATTCCCTCTTGAAAAGCAGCCTCAGGGTAAAGGTACTTCCTGTCCCCATAGGCTTAAATGTCAGTCATATAGAAAGCCTGTTAAAACACCCAGACTTACACCGGATACTGGAAGAAGTTAAGGAAAAAGGGCAAGAAACTTTACACACAACCTTTCATGACAGGGAAAGGATAAAAAGGTCTTAAAGATGGTTGAGCAGGAAGGGAAACATAATTGGTGGGATACACTCTTCGGATAGTCGCCGACAACTACTGGAATCTTAAACACAGCCCTTCATCCAGTGGTTGCTTTACTAATATCTTCAGCAATTTTGTTAATCCTTACTGTAGCTATATATGTATGGATCTGGAGACTTACAAAACGCTTGCAAGCTATGTATGACACTTTATATCACAATCCAAGCTTTAAGCAATAAACTAAGTTTTAGAATAGTACTAACATATTATAGGGCAAGGGAAATAGATTAAGAAGTAGACAAATAAGTAGTAAAAGAATTTATTAAGTAAGAAGAAAAGGGGGGAATGAGACAGGGAGTCTAAACAATCTTAGATTGATGGTGCAAGGCCTGCGCAAAAACAAGGGGAGGCGTATGGGACTGTTCGAAAAAGACATACCAAGTACTGATAACGTTGCTAGGCGATTATCTCCTAGCCCAAAGAGAAGTCCCTCCTAGTCCTTGAAGAACAGACTATCCAAAACACCAGTATAAAGTGGCCTGGGAGAAAGCCAGAGAACAACTGAGGCTGCGCAGAGCGACAGGGTGAAAAGTTCATCAGCGAGGAAGAAGCGGTACTTCATCTTTACGACCCCTCCCCAGGAGATTGTGACCCCAGCCCGGAGCTTGGAGAGCTCATCGCGCAGGCGCAAGAGGAGGAGACCTGATCACCATGAGAAGCGAGGGGAGGCGGGGGTAGACTATGTATATGTACAAGCGTTCTATGAATATGCACTATTTTGTAACATATAAGCCAGATGGGAGCTGCAAACGATGCGCATGCGTGTGGTGGAGCGATCCCCCATGCGCCCAGCGCTGAATAAACATACCCACTTTATAACCCCAAAAGTTATAGAGTGATTTCTCCGCAAAACAGTGTCACCTGAGATGTGTCAGTCCGGACATCAGGGACACACATCACCTTACGACATAGGTTACTCGATCACCAGAACTGAACTGGTTAGGGACATTGCCCTTTCCCTGTGACAAATAGGTTACTTGATCACCAGAACTGAACTGGTTAGGGACATTGCCCTTTCCCTGTGACAAATACCATGAATGGGTCATTTGCCTTGGCAGTTGCTGTGCCACGAAGCAGAATGGTCCTGCTAATAACTCACAGGAACAACAGTCTCAAGACACAATGACTTATTTGAAAACTCCTGCTGTGGGAAGTTTGCAGAAGGTCTGAATGAAGATCTGTCACGGTAAGGGTAGAGCCCGGGTAACAAGCGTACACACCAATATGATTTATCAACTTGTTCCAACTTTATTAGGCAACTGGCCAGTATATATAACATGAACGTAGCACATGCGACAATCACGCACACAATAACAACTCGTGATTGGTCCCTGAGCTCAGTTCACGTGTCACAAATGACTCCTCACTGGTACAGCGTAAGCGTCCCACAAGGCAACTTTTTCTGAGGGTACTCTCTGCTCGTGGCTGCAGCATCCCCTTCTACATGTTGATAACGCTGTTGTTTACTAAGGGGTTTGCCTTATATGGCTTCAAAGGTGACTTCAAGGACAACTGCAGTTCAGCAAGCCTGTCAGGATTGTCCGACTTGTCTAGCAATACTGTATGACCATTTTCCTTCATAATTTTCCCTACAAAGATCAGTATCAAAGGATGAATGTATGCATTCAGAGGCTGGACAGATCCTGAAGAATCTCTGTGTCACGTCCCGCTCAGATGAGGGCGACAAGTGACTCAGATTCGCAAATCCCCAATTGGAGCGGACAACAAGTTCAAGCATTTATTAACTACCTACAATGTACTAATTGAACACATGATAATTGGCTAAGAACAGAGCAAGGTGTGGCGAGCAATATAATATGCTTTGCATTTCTTAATGGAAAAAGGAAAAGAGGGAGATAGAGGGAATGGGGGAATACAGATCACTGGGCTGGGTTCCTGCGCTGATCCCGCCAGTGAGGGTTCCAGGAGATGGCTTTTTTGCTGGCATCCGTCTTCTTTGCTTCACTGCTCTCTCCAGATGGCGGGGGGGGG